CCCAAACCAGTAAGAACTGGATAAATAGAAATTAACATTAGAATTAATAATTTTGGCGTCTTTGATCTAAATGGTTTCTGTTGCTGCAGGTAAAGCGGCTGCGGCGCCATGGCTCAGCTGGAACAGTGGGTCAACGACCGTCTGCACGACATCCTGGGTCTGAGCGACCGCTACGTCTCCCAGTTCATGATCGGCATCGCTCGCAAAGCGTCCAGCCCAGAGGACCTGGTGAGCCGCCTGGAGCAGACGGGGACCATCGACATTGACCAGAGCGTCACCGCCTTCGCCAAGGAGCTGTTTGAGAAGGTATCTAATGGGATGGGGGCGGGGTCAGATACCAGGGGCGGGGTCAGATACCAGGGGCAGACATGGAGGAAAACACTGGTTCTACTGAGAAATGGTGGTTAGCAGCCAGGAAAGCAGTGTTAGTATTATTAGCCCAGCAGTAACTCCTGCGTCCTGCTGCAGATTCCTCGCCAGCAGGTGGTGGAGAAGCCGTCTAAAGCGGTGGAGCGGATGGCCATAGAGATGGAGAGGAAGAATCGGACATACACGCTGCTGGAGGACAGCGACAGCGGAGAAGAGGAGGCCAGGGACAGGCCGGCGGGGAAGAAGAAGAAGAGCAAAGAGGAGAAGAGAGGAAGCAAGAGGAAGAACATCAGACAGAAGAAAGGAAGCGAGTCGAGCGACGATGAAACTGAGAGGAGGTGAAGGTCGGAGCAGGAGAGCCTGAAGCTGCAGCTTTTCCCTGCTTCTAACAGCAACTCTGTGATTTCAGGGGCCTTTCTGTCCAAGACGAACGCCGATCCGTGAAGGAGGAGGAGGAGGAGGAGGAGGAGTGGGAGAAGGAGGAGAGGGAGCGGCAGCAGGACATAAAGGCCAGAGACGAATTCGCTCAGAGAGTGAGGGAGAAGGACAAGGAGAAGACCCGGAACATCGCCGAGCGGACGGATAAGAAGGTGGGAGACGCTGTTTATGGAGGAGCAGGCGGCGCCCCCTACAGGTGGAGGCTTCATCTCCTCCTGCTTCTCTCCTCAGGCTTATGAAGAAGCTCAGAAACGGCTGAAGATGGCTGAAGATGACCAGAAGAACATGGTCAGTCCAATCCGTCTCCAGTTTGGGTATTTCCAGGTTTTAGTCTCGTTCTAAAGTTGGCGTGTCTGCGTTCAGGTCCCGGAGCTGAGAAAGCGTTCCCGCTGGGAATACCTGAAGAAGAGAGAGGCAGAGAAGCTGGAGGACCTGGAGGCGGAGATCCTGGATGAGGAGTACCTGTTCTCCACAGAGGAGCTGACAGAGAAGGAAAGGAAAGACCTGGAGTACAAGCGGACGCTCCGAGATCTGGCCAAGGATTACAAGAAGGCCGGAGCCAAGGAGCAGGAGGAGAGGAAGAACAGGTACTACATGCCGGAGGAGAAGAGGAGCAAGGTGAGAGGAGACCGTTACCTCCTGAAGATGGCAGAGAAAACCTGGTTGGACTAACAGACCTTCTTCCATCTGCTAGGAGGTTCCTCAGAGGGAGCTGGAGCTGGAGGAAACCCCCATGGAGCTGGGAGGAGAGCAGGGCCGCTGGGAGGAGGAGAGGCTGAAGACGGCCTCCCTCAGCTTCGGAGCCAAGAAGGAGCGAGAGCTGGGCCTGAAGGAGGAGCAGGAGAGGTACCAGCTGATCCTGGAGGAGGAGGAGATGATCGACTTCGTCAGCACAGCCATCACCATGAAGGGAACGCGCTCCGACAAGGTGAGGAGGAAGGACCTGTTCACCAGGACCTGTTCACTAGAACAAGGACCTGTTCACCAGGACCTGTTCACTAGAACAAGGACCTGTTCATTAGATCCAGGGACTGTTCACCAGGACCTGTTCACTAGAACAAGGACCTGTTCACCAGAACAAGGACCTGTTCACCAGGACCTGTTCACCAGGACCTGTTCACTAGAACAAGGACCTGTTCACCAGGACCTGTTCACTAGAACAAGGACCTGTTCACCAGGACCTGTTCACCAGGACCTGTCAGGACCT